CCGCCGCCCCCGCCGCCCCCGGGGCCGCTGTCAAGCGCGGCGGGAGCCCCCCCGCCGGCAGGTGGGCGGGCAGGGTGCGGGGCAGCCGGACACCGGCGTGCGGGATCGGAGGCAGAGGGGTGTAGGGGCACCCGTTCCTGCCCCCCAACGCGTCCCCCGGCGAGCAGCGGTACGGGCATAACCGAGTGTGTTCTTCTAGCTCTGAACTCCTTCAAAAGGCATTTGTATACAGTCATACAAGGACACACTCACATACATATTCGTATAAACTCATTTAGAGAGTTAACACACTCTATAAACATCTACCCACATGTACATGCCTATATATACACATACATTACACTACCAAAAGTAATTTAGACTCATGTCTATCGGTAATACAGATGTATGTATATGTAAATACATCTGTCCAAATTTATATATAGATACATACATATGTATGTCTATACACATGTATATATATTTTAATAAAGTAATTTTAATATATGTATCTGCATATGCATGTATGTACGTGTATGTGTATATGTACATCTGTATGTTGCCATAACCAAAGCACCAAGAACGGTGCTTCTACCAACTATATGAAAGTCAGCCTTCTGTTCCTGCTAATTAAAAGATAAATTCTGCTAATTTAGAGAGCTAAAAGAACATATTCCATGTAAATATATATGTGTATGTTCACACATATGTATATACTTGCTGTATAATATATAATTATGTGTGGTATATGTTACATAGTATAATACATTTAATATATAACATATAACATGTAATGTAAAATGTATTGCTATATATATTGTCTATGTTTCCCTTATCAAATATGTGATAGGCACAATGCTGTTCCTCTTCATTAAGAAAGTTAACACGCTGCTAATTCATAGAGTTAAAAGAATGCACTGTATAACCATGTGTGAGTGTTCATACATATATTCTGATATATATGTATATAAATATAGACCTAATAATATAAATATATGTGTGAGAGAGAGAGTGTGTGTGTTGCCAATATTAAATGTGATTGACAGAATCCTGTTCCTGAAGGCGTTGGGAATCTGCCGTGAATTTAGCATGCCCAGTGTTCCATCAGATACTGCTGAGCACCAGCTTTCTGTGTTTCCTGAAAGAAGGCGATCTCAGCCACGATGTGCTTATGACTTCACCACTTGAGAGTAAGACAGTATTCCAAAGCTCAAACTCATAAAATCTTTATAGCACACCATTCTGCATGCCTTTAGAGCAAAGCATGTCTGTCTTGGCTTAAATAAAACAAAAGCAGGTAGTGAGAGCTCTCCTTTTTTCTCCAAGTGGCAAAGAGTAACCAGAAGCTACAGCTTCTGTAGTGAGTTAAAGCTCAGAATCAATTAGCTGAATAGTAGCTGTCCTTTACCCCACTTAGCCTATGATTTTAATGACAAATTGAAAAACTTGACACTAATATTTTTTTTCTTTATTTTATCTACAAGTCAGCCAAGAGAACACGTTTGAATATCAAACCAGTCTATACACCATGTAGTCCTCTAGCTGCATATGATATCTTCATACGTTCTTTCATTTGTTATATTAGATTCTCTGAAATAATAGAAACAGATAAATATTGCCAATTCTGAGAACATTTCCTTTATATGGGGAAAAAAAAAAAAACACCAACTTTCCTTCATTCCTGAATCTCCTTGTCCCTGTCAAAAGACCATCTATAAGAAGAGAAGCCTAACCCTCAGGTGAAGGAGATAGCATTATCTCTCACATGCAAATCAGACTGTAAATCATAATTCAGCCTGAAATCATAAAATCTGTAATTGTACTCGCGTGCCTCATTTTATGACCTTTCCTGCAGATGAAGAAAACCTTTCTGAAAAATACAGTTCTGAAAGTGTCAATACCTGCCCTCCTAAAACCAATGTTACAGATCGTCTCTAGTGATCTGCCTGCAGGATGTTGCACTGGACTGAGAATTATCTTCAATAATGTCAGTGAAAAAGTATTGGCAAGAGCAAGCTGGCCAAGGCTATTGGAAGTAGAGCTGTTTATATACTGCCCCATCAACCCTTCTCTTTAATAGCACCTCCTAATCCCTCTCTGTGCTGTGATTGATATCCCTGTTCAACAGTCACAGCACAAATAAACTGCAGAGCAGGGAACTGGACCTCCATATGGTAACCCCACAGGCGTTTGGAAATTGTGAACTGGCTGAGGATTTTCAGTTTGCCAAAAGAGGGGAAAGAACCTTTTGGATGGGAAAGTGCTGAGGCATGAGAAGGTGGAAGAAGGTCTCCTCTCATGGAAAATGTTCCTCATTGCTGCTTTTTTCATTACAGGTAGTGAGAGACGACAGAGCCTGGCTGCTGCGGACTGGCAGAGAGCGATGCTTTGGTACCCAGGTGATGCCTTTACAGTCACAAAGTCTCTCTCAGACGCAGGAATATGGACCCTTCCTCGGGGCACCATCCACATAGTTGCCATTATTTGTCTTCTTACTTTCCTCCTCTCCAAAAATAAAAGGGCAGACACAACACCAATCCTTCTAGCTCTGCCACTGCTGTGGGTCTGGTTTCTAGGCTGATTTTTTTTTAAATAATGTTGTGAAAATGAGAGGTATATGGGAATAAAAAAAATGAGGGGAAGATGCCATTAATCCTGAGGCTGTTTATTACTGGCTATTACAAGCCAGTAATAAAAAAAAAACATAATACATTGACACAGACCCCTAAAAAACTGGGAGGGTGAAGAAAACTGAAGTTGAGATTAATTGCTAAAGTTAATACTGGCTATTCTTACACCAAAATAACCTGTTTTATGGATGGATTGTACAGAAGAGGATATCCAACATTTGGAGGGGAATTGACTTTATGGCATGGCATGACACAGCAGGGAAGTGGACCAGCTTTGATTTTGGAGCTTGTTGAAATAGGTGCAGCGAAGCTGAGTGCAGAAGGTCTTGTGGAGTTTCTCTCAGTATGTGCAGCATGTGGCTGCTTTTCATTGCCACCAGCCCTGTGCAGCTGGTCCCAGGGATGCTGACAGAAGTGCTGTAGCCCTGTGCAGCTGGTCCCAGGGATGCTGAAGGGTTTCAGTGCTGGCAGAAGGTCTTTAAACCCAGGCAGAGGTTTCCCTAAGAGAGCAGAGCGAGGTGGGATATGCCCATTATCTCTGTTTCACCCAGATGATATGAGGCAGCAGCAACGCTCCCCTCCACCACCGCTCCCTCTGCGCCCAGCCCTGCTGGTATCTGCACAATAACCAGCTCCTCCTGAGGGCACGGCTGGGGACGTCGTCATGTGGAGGAAAAATATTCCCCAGTCTCAGAGCTGCCCGGGGATGCGCCCAGCCCTGCTGGTATCTGCACAATAACCAGCTCTCCTGAGGGCACGGCTGGGGACGTTGTCATATGGAGGAAAAAATATTCCCCAGTCTCGGAGCTGCCCGGGGAGGGGAGGGTGGAGGGTCCCCTCAGCCTGGGAGAGCGACAGAGGAGACGTGAAGGTGTGTCCCTGGCGCCAGGGTGTCCCGTCATGGCTTTGCCCTTGACAGCTCAATGCATCTGCTACCGCTTCAGAACCGTCGGGTCACCCCGCACCATTTCAGTGATAGCACAAAGAGAAAGCACCTACGCTGCACTTGCCTGATTGCAACTGATCCATGGAGGACCTTCCTGCAGTGTCCCCACCAATGCCTCATCGCCCATCTGCGCCTGGGTGCACTTTCATCTCTTTGATTCCACTCGCAGGCATCGTCTGTTTTACCAGAGACAGTCCTACCAGCATTTCACCTGACAAAGCACATGCTATTCCATACATCAGGATGGTAACTCGCATAATCCGGTTTGTTTACCTTTAAATCCATTTATAGATAACTACTGGGAATTGCCGCCAGAGCAGGGAATCACTCAGGGTACCCGCAGCGTGCTTTCTGGGAAAGAGGGGCGTTGGGAGTCACACCACCCAGGTTTGCAAGAGTTCAGGTGGTTCATACAGGTGTCATGACATTTTAGTTTTACTTTTGCTATAGGGACTATTTTGTCTTAGGCACAGCGGTGAGTTACAGGGTTGTACATCATCTGTTATATTAAACAAGCTTTATCTATATAGTAGGAAAGGTCTATCCTAATTGCTGTTATCTGCTTTAGCAATGAAAAAAAAAATTTTTACTTTTGCTATAGGGACTATTTTGTCTTGGGCACAGCGGTGAGTTACAGGGCTGTACATCATGTGTTAAACAACCTTTATCTATATAGAAGGAAAAGGTCTATCCTAATTGCTGTTATTTGCTTTCGCAACGAAAAAAAAAAAAATAATGCTGATTTGAACAAATGAGAAATTTCACTGTATCATAAATTTAACTTCATTTTTAGGGATTACCTAAAAATCATGAGGTCATATTTTCGGACTTAAACTTTCTGGCCTCTCTTTGATATCAAGAAAGCATTTCTGGAAAACGTGACTGTGACTGTTTCAATAACTGGATCTCCTATGAGCAGTGTTATAGGTGTTCTCTAGTGAATATGATCAAAATATCAAAATGGTTGAGGGAAAAATCATAAATATATTTGTCCATAATTTTCCTTGCTGTTTTAGTTTGACTGATATTTTCAGCAGATTAAAAAAAAATAATGTTATATTCTACTGCTGATATTATATTTTGATGGAAATCAACTTTGGTCAGAAGAGCTTTTAGGTCATGTATTTCTTAAATTTTCCCTGACACAGCCCAGACAGCAGTATTGTAGAATCTGTGTTCCTGGTTAGAAGAAAAGTATAAATTTCACCCTCCTTCTGGCCAGTTCTCTAAAACAGACAGAAAGATTTTCTGCCATTTTGCCCAAAAGAGTAATACGGGAGACTTAAACACAGACCAGCTTACTGAAATACATCAGTGTGTTACTTAAATAAATGTGTGAAAAATTCTAGTATTTCCATTGGAACAAAGAAGGAAGTTTTGAGGTCACCGCCGGTAGGAAGGTTGTTCTTGACTTCTGCAGCTGCATGGGAATCACAGAGTAATGCAGGGAAAACTTGCACCTGTGGAACATGTCACTGGCATGTTCAAAGAGTTAAGGGAGAACAGACACCAAAAAACTGACATAGATCTTTTTTACTTATTTAGAAATAGCTTCAGTAGAGATTTAAAGACTATAAAGTACAAACAGCATTGACTGCGAGTTGTTTTCTTTGGGAGGTGAGCTGGTCGATCATCTGCATGCGTTATGTTAAAAAGCCTTTCTCAAAATCTGTCTTCCATTAGGAGTTAGACTCTTTTTATGAGGACTATGTCATCATCAGGGCCTTGCCCATGTAACTCTGTCTCTAAATCCATTAATTAGTGAAAGAATATCTCAGCTATCAAATGATTTATTATATGAAATCAATAGTCCATTGAGGATGTGTTTTTCCACAGACTTTTCCAGGGCTGCTTAGCAACCACCCCCATAAACCAGGTCTACCAGAGGCATTATACCTTCCTAATATGGACACTTTAATGGCAGCAATTTACTTGTGCAGGTCTGAACTTTGGTAAGCCATTTTAAGGCCCTTGCGGTGTTAACTGTTGTGTCTGCACAGCTCGCTTTTTAAATTGGAAAGGGTTGAGAAAGGGCACAGGTACTAGCAGCCACTCGAGGAGTGGCAGGAGCAGCAAGGTACATGACTCCAGGCACAGAGCATGAAGGAAGGAACACGGCTAATTTTTTTAATCTTCAAAAGCAGCCTCACAAATGAAGCCAGTGCTGAATTCAGAATGATAAACTCTGCTTTTTTGGGGTCTCCTGGGGCTGCCACCCCGCAGCACCAGTCACAGTTACTCCAGCCTGAAGCCCTGAGGGAGCAACCTGCTGCTGCTTCTGCGGGTTATGGGCAGCCACCTCCCCAGAGGCAGAGCTAATCTGGGCATCAGTGTAATTGCACCCTTGTGAACACTCTCCCGTAGACTTCTCCTAAGGCCTTCCCCAGCTGGCTGGTGTGTACACAGGCACTTTTGCTCACCATGAGTAAGCACCTCTAGCAGGTTCAGCCAGGAGGCTCAGGGAGAGCATTTGGTGCCTCATACCAAATAACGGAGAGGTTTTTGCAGCGCTGCAGGGCATCAGCATTAAATATCAGCCTGAAGAACAAAAGAAGGACCAAAGCACCTCTAGCAGGTTCAGCCAGGAGGCTCAGGGAGAGCATTTGGTGCCTCCTACCAAATAACGGAGAGGTTTTTGCAGTGCTGCAGGGCATCAGCATTAAATATCAGCCTGAAGAACAAAAGAGGGACCTGCCATCAGCTACTGCTGGAGGGCTAAGTGATGTTTCTAGCCCCAGGGGGACACTTACAACCTGGGAAGGCTATTAACCCATGAAGTTAATTTTTGCCATTACTTGAAAGTAAAGTGCATTTCTTCTGTTCATAAAACAGGCAAAACTGAGAGGAGCTGCCTGGAGGAGGTTTGTGCTGCGTTTCCTTTCTTTCATTACTTGTGCTTGAGGCGATCTGGGTATCACTGGAAAATGTCATTGTTGGGCACATTTGCTCGAAACCCAGAACCGGAGATGACAGATTGGTCTCCATCTCTTAAGGATTAGAACAATCTAATTGTTTAATAGCTAAGCAACATGTTTAATGTTTAAACTGTAAATTCCCTCTTTAGCTCATTCTGCACCAGGACACTTAGTCATTGAATGATTTCTGAGGCTGTGTCCCCACGCTGGCTGTCAAAAGTAGCCACTGTTCTCAAGCCTAGCACCTGTCACTGCCATGAATACAGAAATACTAATTTAAATGTTTAACTTTTGGGGCAAAAAAAGTTAATGACTAAAAGACTGACTCCAGTTTCAGACTTACAATGGCATTGTAACTGACAAGGGGAATTTTCTCTTGAAAGTAGAGTTTGATAGGTTTATAAACATATTTTAAAATGTTTTTCCATGAGTTCAGATGTTGGAGTTGGTGACTGAAATGATTCCTTTTGTGCTATAGCCTATATTTACAACTCGGGCAACCTTTAAAGCATAGAGGTGTAACCTCTGTTTGAAAAGGGCAAGGTAAAGGCTGACCCAGTCCTAGAGTCCTGGGAGACCTTCTGCTAAGCTACATTTGGTGCTCACTCTTTGTCAGTAAATTAATGGCACAAAAGTGTTGAACAAATGTTGCTTTCAAAAATGCTGAGGGGTTTTTTGTGTTTGTTTTTTTTTTTCTGAAGAAAATTTCATTTAAAAATAAATGTTACATTGTTTTTCAAGCAGTTCTGAAGCAAGCAAAAAATGTTTCCAAGCTGTGCTCTGTCTTGATTCAAATAATCGTCCACCTTATTCTCAGACTGTCCTGCCGTGGCCAGTTCCCCTGGCCCAGGAATGCTTCTTTCTGTGCTTGCACTCAGCTCATAATTGCAGACCGAAGTCTGCTTCCCCCTTCACCAACACAAGCTGATTTGTATGGGCATAGCAGGTTAGATTCAGGATCTTGATAAGAGGACTCAGACCTTCAGAAGGATTCTAGAAATGTCTGCTGGGGTGCCTCACAGAACATCATCCTGCAGTCAGTGATGCAGGTCATTTTATAACCAGTAGCTGGAATTGCTATGTGCGTGTGGGTAGTATGGGGGGCTGTTCACCCCATGGCCACTTTCTCACCCACCCATTTGTTTCTGACACCCTCTTGTCTCTCCCCTTTACACCAAGAACCCACCTGCAAAATACAAATACATACATCCTGTGCTTTCTCAATCAGAGGTGACCAACACTGGTCATCACTGAGCCAAGAGGAACAATTCTGTAGTTATGGTCTAAAAGACTACCTTAGATCCTTCCCAGTCCTCAAAGCTGACTCCCTGTCTTGGGTGATGCTACACGTATCCCACTGAAGCCAGGGAAGTGTTCCTGACAGGTGAAGCAGCAGCAGCCCAATACAACGAAGGTGGTTTGCAGTTTGAGTCGCACTAAAAGGTAGATTACAAATTGCTGCCGTGCCCAGCGAAAGAATTAACTGCCTGTTTACTAATACTGTGTACACAGGGATTAAATCGTGAGTATGTTACCTAGAAAAAGAAGAAACCTAGACTAGGTGATATTTTCTATACACTATATATAACTTTCTGTTAGGGTTCAGAAATGCGCATTCCAGGAATTGGGGAACATTTGCTTCTTTTCAGTGGCTTGAGTTTATGTTTTGCTTATTTTTCCCCAATTTTTCTCATTTCTCTTTATCCAGCCTGCTCACTGAAGTTAATTAGCCATTGCTTGCATCGCTTACGTCACCAAATTTTCATTGCAGAAGGTTAATAAACCCCTGCAGACTCTTTAACTGTTGATCTCAGCTGCTTGACTTTATGACTAGCAGGCAGCTGGTGTGAACATAGGTTTTCCACTTGACTTGGTGGAAGTTTGGCTTTAAATTTTACACAGAATGTTACATATGACTTGTTTTCAATAAAAATTAGTCCAGTTCATTGTTGTTCCAAAGTCATGTGTAAAATTAAACCTTCCTCACCTCTTCACATAATCCTGTCCTTGGGACAGTTAGCACAGAACAATCAGGTAAGAAATTAATGAAAATCATTCATTCATTCGAGAAGAAATAACATGGGAAAGTCCCCCCCTCCACATAGCCACATAAAATGTGTTTGGCAGAATATAGTCAGTGAGGCTGTGAGAGTTAAAAGAAAGCCTTTGGTTTGAAGTTCCTTGTAGACACTATAAACACAGAGTCAAAAGG